GGAAGATCCCTGAGGCTGTAATCTCTGGGAAAGATCCCTGAGGCTGTAGTCTCTGAGGAAGGTCCTTGAGGCTGTAATCTCTGAAGAAGTTCCCTGAGGCTGTAATCTCTGAGGAAGATCCCTGAGGCTGTAATCTCTAGTGAAAGTCCCTGAGGCTGTATCATCTGAGGACGGTCCTTGAGGCTGTAATCTCTGGGGAAGATCCCTGAGGCTGTAGTGTCTTCTTCAGAAGCAAGCAGCTTTGCCTTTCTCCTGAGGAGTGTCTTTTGTTCAGCAGCCACACACTTTTACCACTGCACCACTGGGCCTCTGTCTGCTCATTAAGCCTCTCCCATAGAGACTCTCCATTGGACTTCCAGCTAATGGATTTGAACCTCCAAGCTTTTGTTTCCCATTCTGACATTTAATGCAGTCCACTATCAAAGCTTCTTGCAGATAAAAGGAGATGACTAGAGTCCTTTCAGCAAGTAGGTTTCCAGCCAACCCTCAGGGCAACCTTCCTGGTGCAGTGGGGGTGAGGGGGGTCCATGTGGCCGTGGTTCAAATCCATCTAGTAGGAGGACATGCGGGAAGCCTGATGGGCCGGTGGGTTGAGTGGTTGGCTGGTCCTCGAGGAGGCGAGGGGTTCTGTTCTCTTGCACAGAGTCACTGTGGGTCATGACTGTCTGCAGAAAGGGAGCTACACAGGGGCAGAGCTAAAAGTCTGTCAGCGGGCACAAGACATCCAGCCACTGTTTTCCTTAAAATACTTTTATTACTGGCTTTTTGAAACTTTTCTTTGTGATTAGAGTGAAAGGATGCAGAGCACATTGGTGTTCTGTTCAGTGGTTGATACAGCCTTTTGTTTCATGCATTGGCTGCATCCCCGTAGTGTCAGCACACTTCCCATTCCCTCACTATCATTCCAGTTTCCACTCTCCTTCCCACCCTTCCTCACCTTCTGTGCGTTGTCCTGGGCTGTCTCTTACTCCTTGTGGTTGATGGTTCTGGAGTGTGTAGCACAGACCACCTTGGAGCCCTGAACACCTCAAAAGGCTACTTGTAGGGGAGCTCTGGTGGCCTAGTGGTAAGGAGCTGCAACTACAATCCCAGAGGCGAACGGTTCAAATCCACCAGATGCTCTGCGGGGGGAGAGGGACAATCTCCTCCTGTACCAGTCAGATCTGATTTGACGGTACACGCACACAATAAAATAAAAAACAATAAAAAAAAATCTGTTTAAAAAAAAAAGGCTACTTGTCATCCAGATGAAAGTTAAACCAGGAGGAGGAACTGTCCCAGGCATGAAGGGTGATTAGGGGCCCAGCTCTGTGGCCCTTCCTGGCCCTGTCAAATGGGAAGCCTGCTTATCACCAGCACAGCTTTCAAATGCCCTGATCAGGTCACATTTCTGTTCACAGAAGCATCAGACAACATTTCAAAGACAAAGCTAAAGATTGGCAGCAGCCCGGGGGCCGGTGTTTTTAAGGTCTGTAGAGGAACCAGAGAGCCAAAGCCATCAGCCCTACCTGGCTCTGTTCTAATGCCAGGTCCTCATTTAACAGATTGCTACACACTGCCCCTAGTCCCATGTGTGACAGATGGCAGCCTGCTACCCCTGGCTCCATGTGTGACAGATGGTGGCGTGCTGCCCCAGCCCCTCGCTGCCCCGGCACCACCACAAACTGGATTCACCCAAGGACCAGGTTCCAGAGGCCCCTGGTGTTTGCACTCTGATGAGTCACTTCATTTATGATTCAGACCTAGTGAGAGCCTGGGGCTGTGCCCCTCCCCCTGCGTGGCATTAACTGACACCTTGGATGCAGCCTCAGTTGCTGTGCCTCCCACAGCTCCACAGACGTCAGGCTGACGCAGGCAGCATCTGCACCCCTCACCCACTGAAGCAGTCCTGAGTCCCTGCCTGCTGGGTCCCTCCACTCAGTCCCTCTGCTGGTGCCCACACAGGCCACCTCTGCCACTGTCCGCTTCCACACCAGACCTTGTCCATGTTAGAGCTCATCGAAGGTGAGTGCCCTGTGCCCAGGCTGGCCCTCTCGGTGCTGGGCCTTCTGCTGCTTTGATCAATGTGTCTGCTGTCTACTTTGTCGTGTCGTGTGCCCATTATTGGAAGTGAAGCCCCCGGAGGGAAGCCACACTGCTCCACATGATGTCTTTGCTCCTCTTAGGATCAGGCTGCGATTCGCTCTGGAATAGTCACCCACAGGCAGCACTTGTATTAACAGCAGGAGCGAGACATGGAGTTGAGTGTTAGTGTTCTCTCCAAGCAGGGCTGGGGCATCCAGCTACAGGGCCAGGCAGGTGTGGAAGGAGAGGCTAGAATTTCCTGGAGACATGAGCTGTCAGTTCAGAAATTCAACGATTCTTAGCAAGCTGTCAGGAATAGCCCCCGTGACCTGGGCTAAGTTCTCTTTCCCCCTGGGAGTCCTCACAGAATTACAGGTGAATTCCACCAGAAGTGTTCCTGGACCTCACACATTCAGTGGACAGAGACACTCTCGGCCATTCTTCAAGGGTGTGATAGCGGGGACAGCCTTTTAAATGCTTATGTAATTGCTTGTGTTAAATACCTGTATCAAATGCAAGTTTAAGAGGACAGTGTGTTCCTGACTTTTTCTCATGACTACATATAAAAAGGTGTCTGGGGCCTTGCCATGCACATCTTTACTGGCATAGAGTGCTCGGTATGTAGTGGTTCAAATCTACCAGTTGCTCATCGGGAGAAAGTTGGGAGATTGCCTGCCTCAGAATCCCGATGGAGGGTTGCTGGGAGTGGACGTGATGACCTGGGAGGTTTTGGTGGGGAGGGACCCTGCCATGGCCTATTTCTTGGAAAGTATTTTTTGTCCTATAAGCGATTTAATCTCTCTCTCTCTCTCTCTCTCTCTCTCTCTCTCTCTCTCTCTCTCTCTCTCTCTCTCTCTCTCTCTCTCTCTCTCTCTCTCCCTCCCTCCCCCTACCCCCGTCTCCCCTCTCCCTTTATCTCTATCTCTCATTCTAGTCAATGGAACTCCTGGTAGTCAACTTTCCACTCCTCGCTCCGGGAAGTCCCCGAGCCCGTCCCCCACCAGCCCTGGCAGCCTCCGGAAGCAGAGGGTAAGATTTGAGCTGCTGTGTCTCAGTGCTGGGAGCCCAGGCAGAGCTGGGCAGAGCAGGGCAGGGCACTGCTGGGTCCTGGGGACAGCAGTGACCACCAGTGGGCCTTTTGCTATGGGCACCAGCTGGCCCAGCCCTTGCTGCCCATCGTTGGACTCATGCCCACCGGCCCCTGAGGCTGAGGCACTATAGTGTGGTGGGCAGTGCTGTGGGGTGGCTTTAGGACAGAGTGGTTGTCCAGGTCGGATGGTCAGGCGGTGGGTATCTAAGACACATCCATCTGTGAAGGAACCCATTCTTTCCTCCTGAGCACCCACTATTTTCAGCCTGTCTGTGGTGAAAGCAGGGCCTGTGGCCTCGCCGAGACAGTCACCAAAAGCTGTTAGTTTTGCTGAGAAGAGGTGAGGCTTGTCGCTGCCCTCGTCCGCTCCCCAGAAGCACCCTGCTTCTTCCAGTAAGACCAAGACCAGTGCAGGAATGCAAGGGAGAGGAGACAAGGGCAGAGGTGGGGTGAGGGAGGCAGTGACTCCTGGGAGCCCCTTCGCCCCCGTTCCAACACTGTGTCCCTGTGGTCCCTCGGAGGAGTCACTGAAAAGAGGCAATGTCTTAGTTCCATAAACGTGGCGATGCCCAGGGTGCTGTGACGTCGGTGTGGGGCTTCTGTCTGCCCACAGCCGGAACTGCCAGCAACTACATACGGGGATGGGGCTTCGCCAGCCCCACGCAGACACTCTGGACACAGCATCAGTATCACATCTTATTTCTTTTCTCTGCTGATTGACTTGCTATTAAATGTGGCTTTTGCTGATTTGACGTGGCATGGTGCTATTGTGGTCAGGGCATTCAGCTGGTAGTGGAATGGTCTGTGGTTCAAACCCACCAGCTGCTCTGAGATACAACAGTGAGGCAATCTGCTTCTGTAAAGACCCCAGGCCCCAAGTTGCCACTGCATTGAATCACTCATCACCCTTCACCAGATATTGAGGGCTGGAAGAGGCTTCTCCTTAGGGGCCTGGTGGCTTTGAACCTCTGACCTTTTGGTAATTCACATGCCACCAGGGCTCCTTTCAGTAAAGGTGACGGCCAGAGTCACTGTGAGCAGGAGGGGTGTGATGGCACCAGGTTTGGGTTGGGTTTCGGTTGCTGTTTTATCACTAAAGAGCTGTGTTATCTTAGGTAAATCTGTCATTCTCACTCTGTGCCCTCAACCCCTCCCTGCAGCTGAAGGCGTAAGGAGTTTAGGGGGTGGGTGGAGGAAGAGTGGAGGAGAGAAGGGGCCTCTCTGCAGCTGGAAATGTAGTCTCCCCCCCCCCCCCCCCCCCCAGTGCACTGTCTTCAGCTTTCTTGTTCCTGTTTTCTTGGCTGGTACATTGGTTTTTTCTACTTGAAGACTCATTAATCAACAACTCAAAGAAGGACCTGCTGGATTTATTTCATCTTCTAGGGAGCTGTCCTTACTCCTTGACTGGAGGAGGGGCTGCGGGGTTGCCATTCTCCTTTCCTGGCTGTCACCTCTCAGGCCCCCACCTGCTGGGTGGCTGTTCGTCAGGACACAGGAAGAATGTCCTCTAATATGGGACAGCCCTCCTTGAGACACAGAGAAGTGTATTCTTTGGTGAATTGCTTATTAGCCTCTGGTGGGTCACAGCTGCCCCACGTGACAGAGCAGACCTGCTCAGGTGCCTTCTTCCCAGGAGGAGACCACCAGGCTTGCTGGTACATTCAAACCACCAATCTCTGAGTTAGCAGTTGAATGCTTAATCATTGCACCGCCGGGGTTCCTCTTCAAGGAGTGGACCTAGCACCTGTGTTTCTCTTCACCCCTTGAGCTAATTACACCTTGATTTGCAGTATATCAATGTTGTTTATGCAGAGACGAGAAGGGAGACAGAAGGTTGCCAACATGGACTTGGAACCTCTCTTCCAGCCTTGCTTGTAGTGGAGACAGACCCCACCCTGATGGGAAAAAGCTTAGCCATCCCCTGGCTGCACCTTTTTCCCTCTGTATGGACCCTGGTGGCACAGTGGTTAGAGAACACGACTGTTAACGGGAAGGCCTGTGGTTTGAACCCGTCATCTGCTCCACACTAGGAAGAGGGACAGTTGGTGTCTGTAAAGATCTGCAGCCATGAACACCCTGTGGTCAGTGTCAGTCATCAGGAGTGACGCAAAGTCCCATGGCAGTGGGTCTGCTTTGCTTGTGCCTAGAGATCCGAACTCCTGTCCTTGCTGTGTGCATTGTAGAGAGTTCTCCACGTTAGACATACAGCTCGTTGTGTGTGAGACCTCTGTCAGTGAGAGAGCTCGTGTGTGTGTGTGTATGTGTGTGTGGTGAGAGAGAGAGAGACCTCTCTGATAGTGAGAGAGCTCGTGTGTGTGCGAGACCTCGGTCAGTGAGAGAGCTCGTGTGTGTGTGACAGACCTCTGTCAGTGAGAGAGCTCGTGTGTGTGCGAGACCTCTGATAGAGAGCTTGTGTGTGGAGTTCTCCATGTTCGTGTCAGAGCACATTGGGTGTGGAGACATCCACTTTAGTGAGAGAGCTCATTGCATGTGGAACTCACACACATCATCATTTGAAAACAGGCATAAACCTTACTCCCTTGAGTCTGTTCTGATTCCATGGCTGAAACTCTTCATGGAGTAGCTGACCCATCTTTCTTCTGGAGAGCAGCTGGAAGATTTGAACCAGTGACTTTTTGGTTAGCAGCCTGACACCTAGCCTGCTAATCGATTCAAAGATGGTTGAGTTACTAAGCTTTTGCACTGACCCGCTAAGGAGGCTCCTTGCACCAGTGTCCCCTGTTCATACTTGGAGCCAGTCAGGGCTGCCTCCACTGTGGGTGCAATTCCTGTTCTCAGGGGAGATGTTTTCATCTCAGTGCTTTGTCGATGGTCCCACCACCCTAGACTTCCCTAAAATCATGTTCCCAGTGTGCCCAGTGCTCCCCATGCTGTGTGCCACCCCCCAGTGCAGGAAGTCCCAAAATAAGCAGAAGATGGTGTGTGCTAAAAGAAGATACTTCAAAGAATAAATTAGCTCATGTTTTCATTGCAAATTGGAAAACAGTAGCTACTTCTAGTTCTCCGCTGTTGCCTAGCAACATGATGAGAAAAATGAGTTGACTGGCTCCCTCCTACACAACACACATTTGCATGTACCCCACATACTCTCACGTCACACACACACACTCCTGTGTATACTAACTGCACATATATACATACACCCCACAAACATCACACACACACGCCTATGTATACTAACTGCACACATATACATGTTGTTGTTGTTATGTGCCATCGAGTTGTTTGCGACTCATAGCGACCCTATATAGGAGAGCTCTATACGCTCTTCTATCCTGAGCCGTCTCAAATGCACTTATTCCCACCTCTCTAGTCACAGAATCGATCCATCTCATCAAAGGTCTTCCTCTCCTTTGTTGCCCCTCCACTCTGCCAAACATGTTGTCCCTCTCCAAGGACCAGTCCCTCCTTGCAACATGCCCAAAGTATGTCAGATGAAGCTTCAGAATCCTTGACTCCAGTGAACACTCTGGCTTCAGGACAAACCTGTTTGTTCTCCTAGCAGTCCATGGTATATTCAACACTCTTCTCCAGCACTACAGCTCAAAGGCATCAATCTTTCTATCAACCCTAGTCACTGTCCAACTCTCTGATGCATAGCACGTAATTGCGAAGACTATAGCCTGGATCAGGCGCACCTTAGTCTCCAGTCTGACATCGTTGCTCTTCAGTACTCTTGAGAGGTCCCTCAAAGCCAGCTTTCCCAGTGCAATTCGTCTCTTGATTTTTCTGGCTGCTGTTACCAAGAGTGTTGACCGTGGAGCCAAGTAAACTAAAACTGTTAACTGGACAGTTGTCTTTCATCGGTTCTTTTCTGTGGAATGCTTGTCTGTCAGATACTATTATATATATTTAAAGATTGAGACAGACTAGGAAGAAGGATTGGCCATCCACTTCCGAAAAGACAGGCCTTTGAAAACCCTTTGTACAGTAGAGCACACTTCGACTATCGCTTGGACTAGCAGACATGGCAATTGAGACTGAGATTTTAGAAACGGAAATACAAAGAAGAAGGAACAGCTGTAAGCAGGCACTAGTGATTGGAACATGGAACGTGAGAAGCATGAATGTAGGAAGATTGGACATTGTTAAGAAAGAAATGGAACGCATAAATATTGACATACGAGATATTGGCGAAACGAGATGGCTTGGCATGGGACATTTTGAATCAGATGATTATATGATTTACTATGCTAAGGATGAAAAGGTGAGAAAGAATGGGGTTGGTTTCATAATTTAAAAAGTCATTTGTAGATCCATCCTGAAATACAATGTGGTGAGCGACAGGATAATATCCATACGCATACAAGGAAGTCCAGTGAATACTAGTATCATTCAAATATATGCACCAACAACTAGAGCCAAAGAGGAGGAAATAGAAGATTTCTACCAACTTTTGCAGTCAGAAATTAATCAAACATGCAATCAAGATGCATTGATAATAATGGGTGACTGGAATGCAAAAGTTGGAAACAAGAAGGTTCAGTAACTGGAAAATACAGGCTCGGTGAGAGAAAGGAGGCTGGAGATAGAATGATAGAGTTCTGCACATTCAATGATTTATTCATTGCAAATACACGTATACATACACCCCACATATACGTCACACACACACACACACACACACACACACACACACACAC